CTTGGTTTGTATTTATATATATATATATATAGGGATATCTGGTAATGATCCTTCCGCAGGTTCACCTACGGAAACCTTGTTACGACTTTTACTTCCTCTAAATAGTCAAATTAGGTCGTCTTCTCAGCATCAGTCGAGCGGCAAGCCACTTCAACGACACCAATCCAACGACTTCACTAAACCATTCAATCGGTAGTAGCGACGGGCGGTGTGTACAAAGGGCAGGGACGTAATCAGCGCAAGCTTATGACTTGCACTTACCAGGAATTCCTCGTTCACGGGGAATAATTGCAAGCCCCGATCCCAGTCACGACGGTGATGAAACAGTTTGCCCAACCCTTTCGGGCCAGGTTTCCAGACTCGCTGGCACCGTCATTGTAGCGCACGTGTGGCCCCGGACATCTAAGGGCATCACAGACCTGTTATTGCTCAATTTCGTGCGACTTAAGTGTGCCGCTTGTCCCTCTAAGAAGTAAAAACTGGCACCGTACCCGCCGGAAAACGACCACACCACTCCATAAAGAAGCAGTAGAAGCCGCACCCTAAACGAGCACAGAGGACCAGTCTACTATTTAGTAGGTTAGAGTCTCGTTCGTTATCGGAATTAACCAGACAAATCGCTCCACCAACTAAGAACGGCCATGCACCACCATCCACCGAATCAAGAAAGAGCTTTCAATCTGTCAATCCTCACAGTGTCCGGGCCGGGTGAGTTTTCCCGTGTTGAGTCGAATTAAACCGCAGGCTCCACTCCTGGTGGTGCCCTTCCGTCAATTCCTTTAAGTTTCAGCTTTGCAACCATACTTCCCCCGGAGCCCAAAGACTTAAAGGTTTCCCGGGGACTGCCCGCGATGTCAATTAAAGAACCATCGCGGATCGTCAGTTGGCATCGTTTATGGTCAGAACTACGACGGTATCTGATCGTCTTCGAAACTCTGACTTTCGCTCCTGATCAATGAAAACATTCTTGGCAAATGCTTTCGCTGTAGTTTGTCTGGCGGCGATCCCAGAATTTCACCTCTAACACCGCCATACAAATGCCCCCGTCTGTCCCTCTTAACCATTACTTCGGATCCGAAAACCAACAAAATAGAACCGAAGTCCTATTTCATTATTCCATGCAAGAATTTTCAGGCACATAGGCCTGCTTTGAGCACTCAAATTTGTTCAAAGTAAAGATGCCGTCCGCTCCCGACACCCGTTTAAAGGCATCCGGAAGCATGCCAACAGGCCGACAAGACAAGCTCATCAACCCATCAGCACCCGTTTAACACAGACACGGCTGAAAGGCTGCACAGCCACTACACCGAGCCGAACACAAGCCTCGATCGTAACCAAGAACCGTGAACGAGCAACGGCATGCGACCGCACGACCCAGATTCAACTACGAGCTTTTTAACTGCAGCAACTTTAATATACGCTTTTGGAGCTGGAGTTACCGCGGCTGCTGGCACCAGACTTGCCCTCCAATTGGTCCTCGTTAAAGGATTTAAATTGTACTCATTCGAATTACGGAGCCTCAATTGAGTCCCGTATCCGTATTTTTCGTCACTACCTCCCCGTGCCGGGAGTGGGTAATTTTCGCGCCTGCTGCCGTCCTTAGATGTGGTAGCCATTTCTCAGGCTCCCTCTCCGGAATCGAACCCTGATTCCCCGTTACCCGTTATTATCATGGTAGGCAGATCACCTACCAACAAATTGATAGGGCAGACATTTGAAAGATCCGTCGCCGACACAAGGCCGACTGCGATCAGTAAAGTTATCCAGAGTCATCACAGAATGCAACAGGGACAGCCGAAACCGCCCCCGGTTGGTTCTGTTCTAATAAATCCACCCGTCCCCTTGCGGGTCAGGGCATAATGGCATGTATTAGCTCTAGAATTACTACAGTTATCCATGTAGCGTTTACGATCTAAGGAACCATAGCTGATTTAATGAGCCATTCGCGGTTTCACCGTATTAAGGTATGTACTTAGACATGCATGGCTTAATCTCTGAGACAAGCATATGACTACTGGCAGGATCAACCAGTTTATTCACAGTATGATACACACCCGTCATTTGAACGGGTATTTATACATTGGTTTTCCAGGAGAGAACAGAATACGCATCTAGGCTTTTTAAAACCAGGACGGTATACAGTCTCATCCTGTGGCGCAACCACACGGGTGCCTTCACCCCGGTGGACCATTCACACCATTCGTTTGATTATTATTCCGATCAGTGATCGCGTCAATCAATTATGCACAGCGTGGACAAGCCAGTTCTGACCTATCCCGCTTACACGACTCGTCAAACACAGTATTATAGGCAAGGGTAGCTTGCATTACAACGCCCCAATGACTTTTTAGGCCCTTGAGAACGCTGCTGGCAGCCACCAAATCAATGAAATCGTTTACCCAGCAAACCAATTTTACATACGATAGGCTTTCAATAGACCACCAAGATCATAGCAAACCGTAAACAATTGCATTAACGAACCTCCAGCAGTATATAACTTTCGGCTCTGCATATTAATATAGCATAGGCTATATATATATTAGGCTCTGTGGGTAATAAGCAAGGTAGCCTAGCATCAAGCTATTAGGCCCAAACAAGCTTAAAACCCATTGTCACAAGCCGAAATATCATTATCATGCATCCACAATGTGTTTTAATACATTTGGAGCATTTTCATTTTTTCGACTTTTTGGACCTGAGTTAGGGGTAGTATCCCTATATAACATGGCGAGTAAGACGCGCCGTAGTGCGCGAAATTTTCGTACCGGAACCAGAGCACATGCTATATACCGTTGAATAGATCACGATGAGTGTATGAACGTATAAAAAACCGTTTCCAAAAATACCTATCCGTTCAAAAGTTATCAAGGAAAATGTGGTCGAAAATTTACTATAGGAGACATAGGCCTATGTATTTACATAGGAAATTGGCAAAGTGCGACTTCTCAAAATCACTCTTTTCCTCATAACTTTTGAACGGCTCAACCGATTTTGTTCATTCTTTTTTTCTTTGATCAGTAATTTTATTTTCTATTCGAATAATGTAACCAAATTACATTAGTACCTTGTGGAGAAAAAAAAAATTTGAAAATGTGAAATTTTCCTATGTTTTCTATAGAAAATTAGAAATTTTGTTAAAATTTTTTCAATCATAGATATGAGATGGACACTTTATTTGTTGAATAGAGCTTGCAATTATCTACAAAACGCAAGAAGAATGAAGCCGATATCATGTTCCGTTCAAAATTTATTAGCGATTGTATAATTTTCCTATCTCCGCTATATATTTTGGTATAGGCATTCCTATAGTAAATTTTTGACCACATTATCCTTGATAACTTTTGAACGGAACATGATATCGGCTTCATTCTTCTTGCGTTTTGTAGATAATTGCAAGCTCTATTCAACAAATAAAGTGTCCATCTCATATCTATGATTGAAAAAATTTTAACAAAATTTCTAATTTTCTATAGAAAACATAGGAAAATTTCACATTTTCAAATTTTTTTTTCTCCACAAGGTACTAATGTAATTTGGTTACATTATTCGAATAGAAAATAAAATTACTGATCAAAGAAAAAAAGAATGAACGAAATCGGTTGAGCCGTTCAAAAGTTATGAGGAAAAGAGTGATTTTGAGAAGTCGCACTTTGCCAATTTCCTATGTAAATACATAGGCCTATGTCTCCTATAGTAAATTTTCGACCACATTTTCCTTGATAACTTTTGAACGGATAGGTATTTTTGGAAACGGTTTTTTATACGTTCATACACTCATCGTGATCTATTCAACGGTATATAGCATGTGCTCTGGTTCCGGTACGAAAATTTCGCGCACTACGGCGCGTCTTACTCGCCATGTTATATAGGGAGACTACCCCTAACTTCGGTAGTCTCCCATAATGGTAGGCCATGGTCAATGATCTTGGCTTTCCAGAAGTACTTTGTCGCACTAAGTTTAAAAACTTCGCGCACTACGGCGCGTCTTACTCGCCATGTTATATAGGGAGACTACCCCTAACTTCGGTAGTCTCCCATTATGGTAGGCCATGGTCATTGATCTTGGCTTTCCAGGAGTGCCCTTGTGCACTACACTCCCCGCCCAATTTTGGCACTGTAGGGCATCCTCCTTCCCACAATGGTAGTGCTTTTTGGTCTACCCCGGGACCCTCGTAATCCCACATAAAGCCAAGGAGGTAACCTGCAACCACGGTGCGACTTCCGAGTCCGTTCCGTTTGCTCAAGACGGTTCTGTTCAATGCATACATACACAGTCGTACCCAGACATTGATACGTACTGCCCTTGCCCTCAGACATGCACAGAACCTTCATCAACCACCATCATACGTGTTTAGGGCAATGGCAGTTTCCAGGACATTCATAGGTGGTATTTTTATCCAACCCAATGGAAGGATATATAGATCCATGCACCACAGTCATACTCAGTCATATATATTCCCAGCTTATATATATTATGCGTTTTCTATACATTCATACTTTTATTTAGCTTCATTCATGCCAAGTCATGATGAAACCATGAATTACCATCTTGTATATGCATGGTAGCAGCATATCGAACCAATTATAGCTTGTTCACATAGCCAACCAACTCTTTCTGCTGGAACATTCAGTGTTCGCAGTAGGGCTCTTTCAGTTTTCTCGTACATAATCCCTCTCATGGTGATTATTACGGGTATATGCGCTATAGACGAAGTTGTACAGCCTTTAAGTTCCAAGACCTTTATAAACTCAGCATTAAGTTCCTTGGTATTGTACTTCCTTATCTTGCCGTTCCAAGATGAACTCGACCGGTGGTCTGCACATATCTTTACGTCAATCACGTAACTCTTTCCGCCCCTGTTGACCAGTAGGTCAGGTTTACAATATGTCCGCCCCTTTGTGATCTTTGGTTCTTTAATAACCGTGAATCTCCTTCTTTGAAGGATTTCTACCAGCTTATTAAGTACTCTATCGTGTCGTTTCACTCTCATACCTTGTACCGCCCGGCAGTTTTGCAGAATGTGAGTAATTGACTCAGGTTTTCGACATCGAGCTTTGCACAGGAAGTCTCCTTTCTGCCTACCCCCTCGTGATCTCCTCACTTTGGTGGATAGTGTGTTTCCTCTAAGCTGAACGGCTTTCCCGTATAGCCAAGGTAACATATGCTCGGGGTTTTTAACCCAATTATGTGAGACTTTAGACTTGTTAGCTTCCACTAGACCTTTTCCATCTAGGGTATTATAGAGTTCGCAACTCCATGAGTTATCATAACTCTCTTTCGAGGCCATTACACAATCCCTGGTTTGCTCATTAACCAGACGTTTAAAGCTATCACTCAGCTTTATAGTTTCAATCATAGGGCATGTGCTTTGCATCATCTTTATGATTCTATTACGTCTTCGGATAGGGACAGTATACGTTAATGCATCCAAGGCCAACCCACCATCTGAGTAGCTGGCATGCATGTAGCTTGATACAGTATCATGTGGTAGCCCCAACCACCTCTTTACCGCTGATCTAATTGTCACGTCAATGCTCTTCAGCTCTTTGGTCTTCACAAGACCTAGCTCTAGATTATAGTGTAGTTTGGGAATTATGTGGTTTCGCAATATATCCATTTGTTGAAGTAAATTTAGAGGCGCTTCATTCACTTCCTGTAACCATCTCATGACATCCTCCAAAGCTTTCTGATTCGATATGCCTCGGCAGTCAAAGTTAATCCCCAAATACTTGATCTGCCCATCTGCACCCAGGCTCTTTATTCTTTTACCATCAATCACATAGTTGGTATCAGTTATGCATACCGTTTTATTCTTTGCGTGTACAGCTAGAGTCAGAGAGTTAGATTTAGCGGTATTTACCACTAGACCTGCCATGGCAAGGTTTTTTGATAAGACATTTAGCTTATCTTGCATTGCGTATGCTGCACCGGCAAACACAATCAGGTCATCAGCGTACACAAGGGATCCCAGTATTTTCCCTTCAATTTCAAAGCCAATTCCAGGTTTCGAGCTGCGAATTGCTTCGTCCATAGCCATAATGAACAACAAGGGAGAAAGCGGGTCTCCCTGTCGAACGCCAATTTTAACTGAACTAATGGTATCAAGAATCTTGACCCGGGATTTTTCATATGAGGCTTTTATATACTTTACGAGCATGCACGGAGCTCCGTAAGTTTCGGCAATTCGCCATATTGTTTTATGGGATAGTGAATCAAAAGCTTTGGATATGTCTACCGAACAAAGGGACAAGTCCTTCTTACTTTCCCAGGCATGTTTGAGAGCAGTGTTTAAAACCATACTGGCTTCAAAGCACCCGTCTCTTTTCAGGAAGGCTACCTGCGAGTTAAGCTCAGGTACCATCAACAACCATCGTCTTGCCAGTATACCATGCAGGCATCGGAGGACCACCGATGAGATTGCCAGAGGTCTGAAGTCAGCTGGAGTACTCGGGTCAGCACATTTCGGTATTAATGTGATCCGGGCTAGAGAGAGGTGTTTTGGTACCCCTTCTAGTGCCAGCATCAAGTTCAATAAAGCCAGTATATTTGACATCCGTCTCTGTCTGAAAACTCTAGCATTAATGCCATCCGGACCTGCTGCCGTATTCCCTATCTCTTTTAATGCATGGCGAACTTCTTCCGCCGTTATGGGAGACAACAGGTTCCAGTTCGTTTCCAAGACTTTAACGATCTGCCTAGTATCTTCGATACTTTCCTTCTCGAAAGTGCTTGCCCAGTACTCCTGACATTCGCCAGTTATCTGCTTTGATATTTTATAGGCGGTCCTCCATTGTCCGTTCAGTACGGTCTTCACCGTTTCTCGTTTATGCTTTCGCATTCCACTTTGCAGTACATCGCGGTTCCGTTTTAATTTCTCATTCTCAGTTGTCGGAGGGGATTTCTGTTTTATTTTCCGCCTCTTCCGATCAACCTTGTACGGAAATGACTTCTCTGCGTATTTATTTAGGCGTTCAAGCCCTTGTTCATTGCTCAGATCACCCTTACTCAGCTTCACCGCTAGTTTGTACAACGGACTGTCTTTTTTACAAACTGCAATGATATTTGCGAGTAGTTCGGATCGTTTTACGGACCTCATTTCGCACTCATCTGAGTTTACTTCAACTCGTGGAATATTTACTTCCTTCCCAAAAATAGGATTTTTCGTCTCTGGAGCTTTCCATTCAAGGTGGATAAGTCTCCTTTTTATGGATTCTCGGGATCTATGCCCGAATTCACTGTATACTTTATCGTACAGTTTGGCTTTCATCATGTTCCCATGACGTAACCATATTTTGTTTGCGAGCTCAAGGAGTGAATCATCTTCGACTGTACTCCACGACTTCCCTGCAACCCGTTTCAGTTTCGCTAGCTTCTCACTATTGTATTCAACAGGGTGAGTATGCTTTTTATGCTGCCCAGCCCCGATTTTGGTTTTGAAGCTTCTACCACACAGGTCACAAGGGTAATTCATGTTTCCATCTCCGATTCCAGTGCCTTTTAGGCTCAAGCATTCTGTCAACGCAGCAGGTCTACTATGAGAACCCACCATGCAACACTCTGAATCAACATTCTTTATTTTATCCATGGAAAAAGTAACCTTTGGTTCCCGGATATCCTGCCGGGAGTCAGCATCGTTTATCATATAGTTTGTGCTTGTCATAGTTGGGGGGTTGGAATGCGTAGTAACACCTCACCCACTGCATTCCAAGGCAGGGAGATGTTTTGGTCACATTTTGGTTTTCAAGATAGAACCATACTCATATCTAGGCTGTTTAGAACCATGACATCATATAGCCCCATCCTGCGGCGCAACCACCGGGTGCCTCAATCCCAGTGGACCATTCACACCATTTAATCTCAAGAGGTAAGTTGTTGTATTTGCTACTCTCGTGACGCCGCGACCATTGGCCAACGACTTATACGTTAACATACACATACATATATATATACACATGCATATACATACATACATATATATACATACATATATAAATATACATACATATACACATATACATACATACACACATATATATACATATACATATACATATATATACATATAAAAGAATGACAAAGCATCCTTGTGTAATCACATATTTTGGTTTTCAAGATAGAACCATACTCATATCTAGGCTGTTTAGAACCATGACATCATATAGCCCCATCCTGCGGCGCAACCACCGGGTGCCTCAATCCCAGTGGACCATTCACACCATTTAATCTCAAGAGGTGTTGTTTTGAAGTGGAACCAGTGATATTTATTTATATTCACAGTATTATAGGCAAGGGTAGCCTGCATTACAACGCCCCAATGACTTTTTAGGCCCTTGAGAACGCTGCTGGCAGCCACCAAATCAATGAAATCGTTTACCCAGCAAACCAATTTTACATACGATAGGCTTTCAATAGACCACCAAGATCATAGCAAACCGTAAACAATTGCATTAACGAACCTCCAGCAGTATATAACTTTCGGCTCTGCATATTAATATAGCATAGGCTATATATATATTAGGCTCTGTGGGTAATAAGCAAGGTAGCCTAGCATCAAGCTATTAGGCCCAAACAAGCTTAAAACCCATTGTCACAAGCCGAAATATCATTATCATGCATCCACAATGTGTTTTAATACATTTGGAGCATTTTCATTTTTTCGACTTTTGGACCTGAGTTAGGGGTAGTAGATGACGAGGCATTTGCCTAAACCAATATTTTACCGCTACCGCGTACCGAAATTGCTTCCGGGGGGTGCAGGATTTTTGTAACGTGCGTCGACATGGATACAGACAAGAACACAGACGAGTTGCGTACTTGCCCACTCATTTTGGGTGCGCTCTCTTTCCTGGGGTCCACCCTCATTTACACGGGCGAACATCTGCTCTAGCTTTGCACAAAGTGGACATTCCAGCATGCCCCAGGAGTTAGCGAGCCCCACCGCCACCTTCAACCATACCATACATCTTGATTCACCGTTTCGGACTTTACTACTGGCGGCCCTTTGCTTTCCCATACATCGGACCTGCTGGAGTTACCATTATCCTAGCGGCCGGAAACGAAGCCCATATAGCCCCCGGACATCGCCCACCGCCCAATTTTGGCACTGTAGGGCATCCTCCTTCCCACAATGGTAGTGCTTTTTGGTCTACCCCGGGACCCTCGTAATCCCACATAAAGCCAAGGAGGTAACCTGCAACCACGGTGCGACTTCCGAGTCCGTTCCGTTTGCTCAAGACGGTTCTGTTCAATGCATACATACACAGTCGTACCCAGACACTGATACGTACTGCCCTTGCCCTCAGACATGCACAGAACCTTCAACAGACCCATCAAACGCTTTTAGAGCAGGAGCAGTATCTCACATTCATGGACCGTGCCAGTTCCGAGTAAGCCGTCGCGCGCCAGACAATGAAGTACAGCCGCTTGACGCAACGCAGAGCAAGTCCACGCGCGTTGCTAGCCATAAGTCACTAACAGCTGAAACCATCCACGATCTACCCCGGCCAGAGTCCAGTAACCTCGCAACAGAGCGTACCGAAGCACACAGAGTAGCAAAGAAACCAGCCCCCAACTGAGCCGACACGTATCTGATCTCAACCTGTCTGACTCGGCCCCCAGAGCCAATCCTTCTTCCGAAGTTACGGATCCATTTTGTCCACTCCCTTCTTGGGAAGGACATATAGTTTCATGCACCACAGTCACATATATATCATTTTGGTCCGTGCCAGTTCCGAGTATGCCGTCGCGCGCCAGACAATGAAGTAGAGCCGCTTGACGCAACGCAGAGCAAGTCCACGACCGTTGCTAGCCATAAGTCACTAACAGCTGAAACCATCCACGATCTACCCCGGCCAGAGTCCGGTAACCTCGCAACAAAGCGTAACGAAGCACACAGAGTAGCAAAGAAACCAGCCCCCAACTGAGCCGACATGTATCTGATCTCAACCTGCCTGACTGTTTCCCCAGAGCCAATCCTTCTTCCGAAGTTACGGATCCATTTTGTCCACTCCCTTTTTGGTAAGGACATATAGTTCCATGCACCACAGTCATATATCGTTCATAGGGTAACTTCCTCATTTATTTTTGCTACTACTTTCATTCCAACCCGACGGTGCACACGACACGTGGTCGCATGTCTACGTCTTGGGAAGGATGGATTTATTTGCTACTCTCGTGATGCCGCGACCATTGGCCAACGACTTATAAGTTAATATATACATACATATATATATACACATGCATATACATACATACATATATATACATACATATATAAATATACGCACATATACACATATACATACATACACACATATATATACATACACATATATATATATATATATATAAAAGAATGACAGAGCATCCTTGTGTAATCACATATTTTGGTTTTCAAGATAGAACCATACTCATATCTAGGCTATTGCTAACCACGACATCATACAGCCCCATCCTGCGGCGCAACCACCGGGTGCCTCAATCCCAGTGGACCATTCACACCATTTAATCTCAAGAGGTAAGTTGATGTATTTGCTACTCTCGTGATGCCGCGACCATTGGCCAACGACTTATAAGTTAATATATACATACCTATATATATACACATGCATATACATACATACATATATATACATACATATATAAATATACGCACATATACACATATACATACATACACACATATATATACATACACATATAATATATATATATATAAAAGAATGACAGAGCATCCTTGTGTAATCACATATTTTGGTTTTCAAGATAGAACCATACTCATATCTAGGCTATTGCTAACCACGACATCATACAGCCCCATCCTGCGGCGCAACCACCGGGTGCCTCAATCCCAGTGGACCATTCACACCATTTAATCTCAAGAGGTAAGTTGATGTATTTGCTACTCTCGTGATGCCGCGACCATTGGCCAACGACTTATAAGTTAATATACACATACATATATATATACACATGCATATACATACATACATATATATACATACATATATAAATATACGCACATATACACATATACATACATACACACATATATATACATACACATATATATATATATATATATAAAAGAATGACAGAGCATCCTTGTGTAATCACATATTTTGGTTTTCAAGATAGAACCATACTCATATCTAGGCTGATTGCAACCATGACATCATACAGCCCCATCCTGCGGCGCAACCACCGGGTGCCTCAATCCCAGTGGACCATTCACACCATTTAATCTCAAGAGGTAGGGTTTTATTATAATTGATTTGCTGAACCTCCAGTTCTGTTTAACTTTCAGTTCAGAAATATATATACATAGCTAAGGCTATATAGATCAACGAAGGCAAAGGATCTGTGGTTAATAAGCAAGGCAGCTAAGCATATAGCTATTAGGCCCAGACTTGCCTAAAACCATTGTCACGGGCCGACTTATCGACTACAATCGGACAAATGTTTGAAGTGGAACCAGTGATATTTATTTATATTCAAGCGCATTCACAGGTTACCACTTCGGACGGTTGATTAGTTCGCAGGTTGATATCTGCTTAACAGCGGGAACTACGAGAAGGTTAACCGTCCGTAACTTACTCTCAGAAGGCAACCAGATGACGAGGCATTTGCTAAGCCAATATTTTACCGGCTACCGCGTACCGAAATTGCTTCCGGGGGTGCAGGATTTTTGTAACGTGCATCGACATGGATACAGACAAGAACACAGACGAGTTGCGTACTTGCCCACTCATTTTGGGTGCGCTCTCTTTCCTGGGTCCGCCCTCATTTACACGTGCGAACATCTGCTCTAGCTTTGCACAAAGTGGACATTCCAGCATGCCCCAGGAGTTAGCGAGCCCCACCCGCCACCTTTAACCATACCATACATCTTGATTCACCGTTTCGGACTTTACTACTGGCGGCCCTTTGCTTTCCCATTCATCGGACCTGCTGGAGTTACCATTATCCTAGACGGCGGATGAACTTCATAGCGGTGTGAACATTATTGAAGGTATCAAAAGATCCTTTGTTGTAGCCATTATTACAAAGTGATGAACGTATCATCTATATACCGGCAATAATAACCTAGTTTATCAAGTGTGTCCCTGAGTGCGTCGTTTCCAAGTTGGCGAAAAGACGTCCGTTAGCATAGGACCCAGATGATAGCCCTTGTAAATACATCTACTTGTCAATAATTTCATTGTTAAACATTCATAGTGTATTTTAGTAGCAATTCCAGGGGGGGGGGAAACAACAAACTCATTAGGAGGTTGAAAAGATTTCAGGTACAGACTGTGAATGGAGACTACTATTGAAGCCCTATGTTCCATTAGGAACCCAAGGGACTAATAATAATAAATATTATAATAATAATCAAGGCATCCCTAAGGAGCCCATCTGCCTAACAGAGGTCAAGTATTCCACTGGTAGGCAACAGGGAAGTACAAGTATAATAAACAATGCAACAATTGATTTAACGAGCCATCTACTGCTTAGATTCTATCTCCAGGCCCACCTCAGAATCCTTCGATTGAGTCTAGATGCGTACTAAAGACTCAGTGGAGGAAATCAGACAAAAGAAGCCTGTTTATATGAATCATACTTCAGAAAGGAAGTTTCGAAAAATCAAACGAGTTAATAAGCATTTCTAGTCACAAGTCTGAAGAAAATTCCACTGAAGTAACCGAAGTCAACTTCGGGAATTTCTATCTCTCCACCATTCAACACTGTACCATATAGAGTTTCACTGTTTGAT